GTGAGACTCCTATCTCCAATAAACCACCAGAAAACCGGAAGTGGCGCTGTAGCTCAAGTGGTAGAGCGCTCACCTTGAGCTGAAGAGCTGAGGAACAGCGCCCAGGCCCAGAGTTCAAGCCCCATGACCGACCAAAAAAAAAAAAATGCTCCTTTTCTGGCCAAACTACAAAAATTCAAATCCTCTTGCTTTGGTTTTCTAAAGGCACTCAGCAATATTCATGCCATGGTCCGAACTCTATGCTGTCTTTAAAGCTTTCCATGCTAGTCTGTCAGTTACAAATTTAGCTTTGTACAAAGTCTCAGAAAACAGACAAAATGTAGGCAATTTCTTTGCCAGAATGTAACACAAATCTGCTATAATTCCCAGTCTAGTTCTCATTCCCACCTGAAACCTTATGAGCAGTTTTCTGTTTACATTCCATCAGCAGCATGGTCTTAAGCTTTATCATATTTGTCCAGTGAACCCTGCTTATAGCATTCTAAGGCTTCCCTAAGTCCGTTTCTCAATCTATTAATATTTAAATCAGCCATTTCTGCCTTGAGTTATAACTCATATTTAAAGTGTATGATTCAATTTTTTAAAAAGTATATTTATAGTCATTTGGGCAATACTATCTAATTGTAGAAGATTTCATCACCTCCACAAAAATGGTTTCTTTTTGTAGAAGTCATTCATTATTTTTCCTCACTCATCATCTGTCAGTAATTTTTCATTCAGCATCTGTTTTTCTCAAGGGTCAATATTGTACCATTGATCAGTATTTGAATACTTTTTCAAATTAAATAATACTTCATTGCATGGATTTACCAGTTTTCAATTCTCTTGTTTCTGGATACCTGTTTTCACTTGTTTTGAATATACAAATAGTTATGAGTTTCATGGACACATTTTATTGTGAATATATTTTAAATTCTCTTGTGACATATCTAAGTATCTTATGGTAACTCTACTTACACTGTAGAACTGCTATGCAATTGATCCTTAAATGTTTGAAATCAGTCAACATTGAAGAATCTGGCCATTTTTATGTTTATTTTGGAAGGTTGTGATTCTTGAATTCTGGCCTGGGTGCTGTCCCTGAGCTCTTCAGCTCAAGGCTAGTGTTCTACCACTTGAGCCACATACCATTTCTGGTTTTCTGTTGGTTAATCAGAGATAAGAGTCTCACAGAGATGCTTTCCTGCCTGGATGGCTTTGAACTGTGATCCTTGGATCTCAGCCTCCTGAGTAGCTAGGATTACAGGCGTGAGCCACAGGTGCTGGGCCATTTTTTTTTTTTTATAATAGTCTATCATCATCTACTCATTCTTCTTCAGCTCTGCAGCTTTTTCCTTAAGATCATATTACAGGCATTCTGGTGATAACTTCACAGCCTATTTGAGTTACAAAATTCTCTCCTATGTCAGTATTTTGATGTCTGTCTTAGCCAAAAGTATCTCATTTGCACAGAATCTTCACTAGGTAATATGTACAATTCACAGGAACCTTCACCTTCAGCCAAACTTTGAAGTCATCAGAATCAAATCCACCTTCCAGAGGAAGATAATTTACATAACACAGTGTCGCCACATAGTATGCTCCCAACCTTGCCCACAATGAATGGAGTTCTCTTTTTTGTTTCTTTCTCTTCTTCCTTCAAATCCTTTCCCCTTTCATCTTTATTAGTGTGTTTTCAGGAAGTCACGGATTATTATAATGCACGATTTTTGTAAAGTTTGAAGTATCACTAAAGCAGCAGATACATTGTGGTGGGTTAAGTAGTATGCACTTGACAGTACTTACACACACATACAGTAATTACACACGACACACACACACGTTTTGTAAAACATCGCTGGTGTCTGCTGTGTGTCCGTGGCAGAAGAAATGGCCATGAACAAGCTCGGTCGATGGCAAATTGTGTAACTCCCAGTTGGTCTTGTTCAATCTCTTCTTTCCTGCGCTTCCTGTGTGGTGAGTGACAGTTGTGAGATCGCTTCTAACGGTTTTTATTTCCCCCTTCTCTTTTCTTACAGTTCATGATGGCTGAACTCTCAAAAGACTTCGCACTCCCAACTCTTCATCACTGAATCTCCCAGAATCGCCCTCCTCTCTCCCCCTCCCCCGCCTTGCTCCCCCCCCCACTCCCCTGCCCTTGGACACGCAGGTTTGCTGGACAGTCGAAGGGGAGGGGCTTCCTAGATTTCCACGCCCCTGTCACTTACCTGTCTTAGGTAACTGTACTTCTCCTTGGATGTCCCTAACGTCGGATCGCCCCATACAACAGAGCCCCAACATCTCCAGATCCTTTCTGGCTGACGTGTGTGTGTGGTGGGGGACCCTGGGACTTGAACTCAGGGCCTAGGCACTGTCCCTGGGCTCTTAGCGCCACTGTAGGCTTGTGGGGGGTAGCTAATTGAAGATAAGAGTTCTACGGGCTTTACACGGGCGGGAGGTGGTGTTTACAGGGGACCAGCCCGAGCCCGCTCTTCCCATCCCGGACCCCAAGGCCGCACACCTCCCTCATCCCAGCGCCAGCCCGGGAAAAACCTGCGACCACGGCCCGCGCATGCGCGTGCCGACTTGGAGGCCGAGGCCGGGACTCCCCTGTCGCCTCCCCTGCCCCCATACCCACCCTCTCCCCCGCCCCCGCCCCCGCCCCCGCCCCCGCCCCGGGCGCTCCCTCCGCAGCCGCCGCCGCCGGCCACGACAGTTTGGAGCCTGCTGACAGCTCCACCACCGACAGACGCAGCCTCGTCTCGTGCTTCCACGTTATCCTATCAGAGAAGGGGCGGGGCGACATCCTGCAAAGCCAATCAGCGTCCACCACGACCCAGGCGAGCCCAGGCGGCCAGCGGCTAAGAACAAAATGATTGGACGACGTCGGCGCTCGGGGCGTTGCGTAGGCCCGCCCCGCCCACCGCTGCCTTCCCACTGCTGGGCGCCAGCCACGACCGAGGCCTGATTCGAGAGAGCGGACGGCGGGCGGTCGTAGCTACAGCCCGGGCGCCGCGCGGGCTGGTGGGCCCCGCACCTTCCTCCTCCGCGTCGCCGGTGCCCTCGGACATGGTGGCCCCCGGCTCCGTGACCAGCCGGCTGGGCGCAGTGTTCCCCTTCCTGCTGGTCCTGGTGGACCTGCAGTACGAAGGTGAGAGTCCGCCCTGCCCCGCCGCCGCCGGGCGGAGCGGACTTCCGACCCGGGACCCCGCGCTCCCTCCCCGCCGCGCCTGGGCGCGAGGCTCGGGGGAGGGGGGGCGCCCGCGGCCTGGACCTCCGTCCGTCCGTCCGTCAGTCCGTCCGTCCGGCTGGGCGGCGGGCGGCGCTCGGTTCCGGGTTCGTCCGGGGAGGGGACGTGGGGACTGGCGGGCCGCGAGGCCGGGATCGCGGGTTCCGAGGGAGGAGTCGGGCCGCGGGGGGTCCGGGGCGGAGGCCCCGGGATGCGGGGAACTGACCCGGGGACGGCCGTCGGGTGCTGGCCTCGTTCGGGTCCGCGGTGCCGGGAGGAAGCGAGAACGGTGGCCGGCAAGGGCGGCCCCCCCTCCCCGCTGCTTCCTTTTCGGGGTTCAGAGTGTGCCGGGCAGGGGGCCGCGGGGGGTCGCCCCGGTGGCCTCTCCCCGCACCCCGCCGCGCGCGGGTCACCTGGCGCGGGGCGGGCGCCCGCAGCCCCGCAGGCCGGCGCGGAAAGTTTTCCAGGGCTCCCAGCGTGGGGCCTGGCATTCAGCTAATGGCTGGTTCTACTTTTCCCAAGTTGTCTGGGGCGGGGTGCGGGGCGGGGGATCCTCTTCAATTCCACAGGCTGTGTCCCACAGTCTGGCGTGTCGGCCGGGAGGGGTCACCACGAACGCCCCCCATGTCAGTTCGAACGCATGCTGCCAGCCTGCTCGCTGTGGGAAATACCGATGACAGGGCGCTGGTCCTGTCACACGCACTGATGCTATTGTCACGACCACGGGACGGTCGGCCAAGGGTTCGAGTGAAATATTTGAGTAGTCCATCCAGAGGGGGCGAGACAGTTGGGAATTGTTTTCAACTAGTGAAAAGCCCTCTTAAAACTGTTCAACACTTGTTGTTTGTTTGTTTGTTGGGTTGGCTTCCTGGTTACCCTATTTTCTTAGGAAACTCCCAGTCAGAATGTGTAATCTGACTCTAGGGAGACAAAGAATTTGACACTGAGACTGCCCCAGAAAATCGACAGAAGTGGATTTTGAAGGAATTTGACATGTAGTTTTGTCTTAACACCTTCTAATTTGCAATTCACCCTTCTGCATTAGGTCCAGTTATCATTAATGCTTTACTTTGGGCACATAAGAGAAAATTGCACATGCCCTGTTTAATGCCAACTTTTAGTTTTTTTTAAAGTAATATAGGTGCACACTTTTTGTACAATCGCTTTTTTTGGGACCATCATTTTAGAATTTCTATTCTTTATATGATTATGTAAACTCAACACTTCATTTTTTTACTTAGCTTTCTGTCTGGATGCGATGGTGACGATTCTTAGTGTAATACCCGAGTGTAATCTTCAGGAGCATTGCCTGCTTGGTACATACAGGTGGTTGACAGAAGAAAGGAAAAGATCCTTTGTGTAAGCCACCTCTTACTCATGTATCTATGGAGTGTCATTTCTGCTGTACACACGAGGCTCTGAGCGCTTAATTAAAGTTCATCTTGGGTGGAGACAGATGTTAAATTGTTGACAACCTCATGTAGGTGCAAGCATTTCTCACTGGTGGCAGCTGAGAAAAATCACCATTGCTAGCCACCAGAAGTAATCCACAGGGGGGAGATTTTTCAGACAGGATAGGTTTAATACAAACTTAAATGAACATTAGAATCAAAACATAAAGGCTTTTGACTGGGTCCAAGTGACTCATGCCCATAATCCTGATTTCGCAGGAGGCTGAGATCTGAGGATTACAGGGTTTAGTTCAGGTATGAAAAGTTCATGAGACTCTTAACTCCAGTTGGAACTGTGGCTGAAGTGGTAGTATAGAGTTCCAACCTTGAATGAAAATCTAAGGGATAGTGCCCCGGCCTTGATTTCAAGCCTGCAATACTAACACACAGACACACACAGACACACACACAGACACACACACATGAACGCACGCCTGCAATACTAACACACACACGCGCGCACGCACGCACACACACACGCACACGCACACACACACACACACACACAGCCAAAACAAGAAACAAAACAAACATAAAGGCTTTTGACAGGAGTTTTGTATATCACGTTTCTGATTTTAATTAAGTGTCAATAGTAACTAAAATTTTGTATTTCTAAAACCATACTTTGAAAACCATGGGGCAATAAGTTGATGGAACAATTAGATATCAGACCCTTGGTTCTTGATGGCAATATAAAGATACATACCAACTCAGTCTTCAGTTAGCAAACCATTAGCTTCTGTTTTCCCAAATAAATTCTCTGTATCTTTCATTAGCCTCATAGTTTTGGGAGACCTCTAGGTCAGATTGTATGCCCAATGCTAGGCCTGAGATTTGGAGTGAAAATAAAGGAATATGAGAAGAGTGAAGGTGAAACTGAGATTTAATGTTATGATCGATGAGCTTAGATGGTCTAGTTTTTTTTTTCTGATTTAAAGTTAATCGTTTTGTTTCATAGACTTCCCTGTTGTAAAGAAGGAAACCTGCTTCATGAATTGAAAGATTGATTCTTAGCATCCCCTTTCTCAAAGGCCTTTGAAGAGTCCAAAGCACGAGAGTAGAAATAGTTTTGGTGCCAGTATCTAATCTACTTTACTATTCTAATGTGTTTAATCTACTTTGCTATTCTCACATTACTGAGAAGAAAGTAATTTCAGTTCTTTGCTAATGAGTTGTTCTATTTAGTGACTTGAGTAGGAACATTGAAAACCAAACCCTTTTTTCTTTTTTCTGTTTTACTTTGATCTTTTTCTTTCTTACTGTGTTATTTGGACCTATTTTTCCTTATTTCACTGACTTAGGCTTATTAAACCATATATTTTGGTCATTGAGAAAAGTAGTTGAAAATTTATATGGGGGGGGGGTTCTGGTTGTGGGCCTGAACTCTGGGCCTGGGCTCTGTCCCTCAGCTCTTCAGCTCAAGGCTAGCACTCTACCACTTGAGCCACAGTGCCACTTCCGGCTTTTTTTTTTCTGCTTATGTGGTACTGAGGAATCGAACCCAGGGCCTCATGCATGCAAGGCAAGCGCTCTACCACTGAGCCACCTTCCCAGCCCCTGAAAATTTATATGAATAAAAGATCATGATACATTGTATTTGAAGTTAAACTACTAAAAGCATGTTTTGTCAATAGGATTTCCTTGTCATTAAATATGAACAGTAAAGCAAGTAATGAAAATGGATGATTGAGCAACTTATATAAATTAACCATAACAGATGGTCAGATAACTTCTAGAAGTATTTAAACTTTTTAAATAAAGGCTGGGAAGGTGGCTCAGTGGTAGAGCGCTTGCCTTGCATGCCTGAGGCCCTGGGTTCCATTCCTCAGCACCACATAAGCAGAAAAAAAAAGCTGGAAGTGGCGCTGTGGTTCAAGTGGTATGTGGCTCAAGTGGTAGAGCACTATCCTTGAGCTGAAGAGCTAATGGACAGCATCCAGGCTCAGAGTTCAAGCCCCATGACCAGCAAAAAACAAAAAAAACAAAAACAAAAAAACTTCTTTAGTAAGATAGGTTAGTTTGTCTGATTAGTTAACATTTGCTGAAAGAGGGCTTGGAAATGGAGTGGTTTTCATTCTGTGGGAGAGGCACATTGTTAGATGAGCTGCCTTGCAGTATTAGGGTTTATTTTCCCATGTCAATTTACTTGTGATTGAGTTTATTTTCATGGTGTTCTTTTTTTAAAAATTTCTTTATTGAGGTTAAGTGATTACATAAGCTTCACAATATTGTGGGATAGTGATACTTAGCTAAAGTCACAAACACATTTTAACCTTCACAAGATGAATTGGCCTTATCATTTTCTATAAAGCTTTTGAACTCTACAAATGTTGACAGAAGAACTGTTTCTTTCCTTTTGCTTAGTGTAAGCTGTTTCCTCTTTCTCTCTCCTTCCCTCCCTCCCATTGCTGCCCTTGAGTTGTTTAGTTCACTTTCATCAATGTCCAGTGCAGCCGATAGACTTCTCTGTGTATTTTTTTCACCTGTTTCCCTTTGATTCTGTGCCCTTCTCCTAGCTTCCCTCATATGTACACATGTATATACATGATGTTCTTTTAATTGATTAGCAATTTACCTTTGTTCACACAGAAATATGGGAACCTAGTCACCTGTTCTTTAGCACTCAAACATTGCAATCATAACTTTATTTTTCTTTCCATGGCTTTAGAAACCTGTTTGCTCTTTCCCTTCCCTTCCCTTTATTTTTTTCTTCTTCCTTTCCTTTCCTTTCCTTTCCTTCTTTCCTTTCTGTCATTAGAAGTTCTAGAATATAAAGATTAATCAATCAACAAAGGCTTATAATGTATGATACTTTAGTGAAGTATGCACAGTATAAAATTGATGGTTTATCTTAAGAGTTTACAGACAAGGGAAAATAAGGCAAGTATTTGTAAAGTTTCCATGTCCTTTTTACTTCCTTTCTTCATTTACATTTATTGGTCCATCACTGTAGTTCACTGTGGTGTTTGTTGTTGCAGTTGCCCTTTAATTTGTCTACTTTGATTTTATTCACTTGACAAAATGGAACCCATTAAGTATGGGTGTGGCCAACTTGTTTGTTGTACCTCAGATTAAAAAAAAACTAACTTTGTAGTTAGTCTCATTTTAAGCATATAGTCTAAATATCAAATGTACACTAAATATTGCTAATATACCTACAATTCCCTAGTATATCTGATCTTGAAACATAGTTCTCTATTAAACTCCCAATTTAGACCTCCCTTTCTTCTCTTCCCTCACCTTATTCTTTTAGACTTGTCCTCAGATCTCAGCCTCCTGAGTAGCTAGGATTACTGGCTTGAGCAACTAGCTCCTGGCTTTTTTTGTTTTGTTTTGTTTTTTTAAAGGTTGGGTTTTACTTTGTAGCTAAGGTTGACCGACCTTGAACTTGCTGTGTAGCCCAGGTTGGCTTTGAACCCATGGTCTTCTTGCCTTATCCTTCCTAGTGTTGGATGACAGACATGCACCAAA